ACACGAAAATACCAGAACTAACAATTTTGGTCTTTTTTCTTTAACTTAACGCCGCGGCGTCGGTGGAGAGAAAGACTTGTAGGCGTTTGAAAACCGAGCATGAGCTGGTTATTTACACTTGTAAAGGCTTCTGTCAGTGGAAAGGAAAAGAAACGTTTCCAGAGTACGAATTTTTGTTTACCGCTGTTGATTTGATTTGATTTTAATATCTTTTCATTGACCTCGCCCGTTTAGTTAGGAACGCATGTATGAAAGTTTTTTAAATGTGCGGTTTAGTCATGATTCTTTTTTCGCCATGTTTAATTTTTTAAAAGGTCCAATGAAGTGGGAGAGAGTACCCTCAGAAAGAGAGAAAACCTGTCATTCCAAGGCTTGGTTTACAGTTAAAAAGGATACGATTCATATTAAAACCAAGACGTTTTCATTCTGGAGCGTCCTCTGTTGCGGCGGCCCTAAGAGGAAAAGAGCAACGGTTTTTGTGAGCAAACCAAATCCAGGGCGAAACTTGCTGCACCTCCGTTTTTATATCTACAGCGACAACGAAGATTCTAGAAAGGTATGATCTGGAGTGATAGTAAGAAGTGTTTGTCATATACAGGGAAAAACCGCTAAATTCCACTTAAATCGAGATGGACTGTACCAAAAACGTACGGAACGGAACGGACTCCACGGAGGTAGGATTAGCGCAGTTGGTTAGTGCGCAGCCTTCCGTACGGGAGGTCCCGAGTTTGATTCCCAGGTGTGACCTCAGTGACCTCAAATCCTTCTTTCAACTTTTTTTCCTTCCGTGTAGCATTAGGTAGCTTTAAATACCCGTAAAACGGAGCACTGTTGGAGAGAGCTCAAGGTCGGCCTCAGGTTTGTTAGTCAGATGACTATTTCGAGCTACCAACGTAGTATAACCTGTCTTTTTGTTTTTGCAAGAGGCGCCAGCTAATCCTTGCCTGCGTATAACAGAGGTCGAAAAGGGTTGGGGAGAAGGAAAGGAAAAGGGGAGGGGACTGGGAAGAGAAGGAAGAGTGACTTCCCTTTTCCCTTTCGCGCTTCTCCTCCTCCCCCCTCCTTCCAACCCAGACTCCAAATGCGGCCCCTACGTCCATTTTTTCCAGAATCTAGGACGAAATATGCCCTAAAATTTGCGGGTTAACCGCGCAAATGGTAAACCGTTTCCGGTATTTATTCCATTGTGTCCAAGCTCTGCTTTTCACAGGGCAGTTTTTGTCAAACAGTCACAATTACTGTTGTATAAAAACGAAATAGACCACGATTCAAGATTGTCGAATCTTAGATTTTGGTATCGCAATGATGAGCATCCAGCTTGTACAACAAAATTTTTAAACATCAATTCTTGTAATCTCTAAATTGATTGGTACATCGGACGACAGAAACTGCGAAACACTTCCCTTATGACACTTCAAGCTGCCTGCAAATGATGCAGAAAGGGGAAGAAATTACTTCCCTGATTTAAAGATAACATATCCAGTATACAAGTTTTCAGTTTCGATGCTCGTTTACTTTGAATACAGAGAATGGAGAGAAAAGAGAGAGAGAAGTTTCCTGATTCAAAGCCATCAATTGAAAAACCTTTCAAGATGTACAATGATGCCAATGACATCACCGTCTGGCTTAGACCAGAAGAACTTGCTAAGAATGGCTGGGAACTGGATCAGACTGACGCTAGACAGGTAAAGCCGGCATACAAAGCCGTTTTCACTGGTTGAAATTCTAATTAGTCAATTCAGAGCATCTGTAACCAAAACCAACATTGTAGGTAAAAGATTAGTAAAAGATTTAAAGTTTGTTTATAGTGGGATGTGCTTGTAGCTTATCCAGCTAGTTTATAGTCATTCCACTCAAATAATTCTGATCATATAATCCAAATAGAACAAAACAGGATTAAAAGACGCAACTGAAGGCAGGTATTTACAAGCGTGGCCGATGATTCGAACTCGGGGCTAACGACAACAAATCCAGCAAGTGGCCAGAGTTGGACTCGAACCCGGGACCGCCGGATTGCAAGTTCGACGCGCTGACCACTCGGCCACACTGGCTTCACAGGAAAACAAACTTGCTTCGCAAGCTTTTGGATTTGAATTCACTTTTGGGACCAACGCTGAATAACCGTAACTCTATTGATTGAACAACCCGGCTCATGCATATTTGAATCTTAATAATATATAAGAAAAGGGCAAATCCGCAGTTTATGACTCCTGTCCAAGGTAGTTAGTCCCAAAAAGCATTTCACTTTTGCCTCACCAGACACACTAGCTCTGTGCATCACAACCGAGTATTGGTTGACTCTTGTACTGTTTCCTGCATCTTCTGACCTAGAAGCCAAGCTTGCCGTTAACTACATTAGAAATCAGTGTTCTGGTTTAAGCTTTGCAAATGCTCAGAGGGGGTTTGGTTGCAGAATAGCGTAACCCGCTACACTGCACAACAAGAACAAATTGTAATGATTATAAAACTACGTGAATGTTTTGTATCCTTTGTCATTCAGACTTACCTCCACGATATGGCTTACAAGAATGGATACCGCACGTATGAATCGTGTAGTTTTGCAGTGAATACCACTGGAGCGAGCCTGGAAGGTGTAAATGATTTTTCGTGCAGTTTATATTTCCAGCAAGAAGACCAACCGGAACACTTTATTTACGTAAACCCAGGGATTTCTCTGACCAGACAGCAGGTAAAAGACACATTATTTTCTTGTTGGAGGGAGAGGCTAAAGGTACTTCCCAACTTCCTTAACGGCAATCACATGTGCGCTTGCACGCATACACGCATGCGCGCAGCGCATCTTGCTTTCCAAGAATGATTCCTTGCAATCTCTTGTAGAAAAACCCTAGCCCATGAAAATACTTTCTGGTGGAAATAGTTTTGTTTGAGCGGTGCATCTTGTGGTAGATGATTTGTGTGACAATCAGCCGACGAGACAGATATATTACCTATGTAGTGAATGCTCAACGCTGTTTTTTAAAGTGTTACACATCAGTATCAAACGAGTCATTTATTTTCATAGCAGACAGCGAACTGGCACTACAAGGCGAGTTACGACAGATGAGCTTACCTTTGAGCTTATCAGTAACTTGTTTTTTCATCTAAGTGCAGTTATCTGATGTTTGACGAACTCTATCTTCTTACCCAAAGTTTATGCCATATTTAACGATGTTTTTTCTGTTTGACGCGATCACTACTTTGTAGTTCTATTAAACCTCTCACACAAAGACATTTTTCTTTTTAGTCTCTTTTGCGTAAGCAGCGAGACTCATAATCTGTAACGCGTTTTTTGTTTTTGTTTGGACACAAAAGGGGGTCATTGTGCCTTTAAAAATACAATTTTCTCTTTCCTTTCTTTTGTTAATATTGGTATTAAAATTTACTCTGTAGACCTTCAATGGATATCACGTCGAGGGCACAGGCAGCGACAATAACAGCTCAGCAAGTGCAGCAGAGAACTTGAGAGAACCACCACAATTAAACAACGAAAGTGAACTTCAGTTCCCTGAACCCTTCCAAGGTGTGTTTATTCTCATTTTCAATCATACTTTCAAAACGAAAAACAGTAAAAACAAAATCAAAATAACTGAGTTGTTAATAGCTACCTGGGCGTCCCTGCCTATTCATTTTGTGCGTTATGTGAAATCCTGCAAGCTTATTGGCTGTTTGGAGTGCGTTCCTGGCCAATTCAATAACCTGTGATTTCGTGCGTTTATGGCTTTTATTCTTTGCTATTCATTTGCACTTTTTTGACCAGCCGATGAACTGTACAGAGTAAATTTGACTTAACATTGACTTTAATTTCAATTTTCCTTCTTTTGAAAGTCAAATTCGGTTCTCTTTCCTAACGAAAGGCGACCTTTCCTCCTGTTGCTATCTTTTTCAATTCAGAGCCCTGTCAATATTGAAAACATATTTACAGACTTTAGGGTTGTGCGGATTTACTCGCAGACTGATTAGCAAGAACTTTGATTAATTTCTATTTCTTTCATAATAGACGAACCAGTGACACAAGAAATTTGCCTTAGTATTTCTAAGGACATCGGAGCTGACTGGAAGAACGTTTTGCGACATCTGGGGATGAAAGAAACAGCTATAAAAAACTTGGACGAGGATTATAAAAACTGTAGCGTCGCTGAAAAGTGCTATCAGGGGTTAATAGAATGGCAAACAGAGAAGGGCCCAGAGGAGGCGAGAACCATAGAACTCCGTGGAGCTCTGCGTGAGGCAAACTGCCCAGAGGCATTGAACACTTTGTTGTCGCGAGGAGGTATGTAATCACCTTACTCATTTCCAGTTGTGACCAAGCTCCTAATTTACTAAAGCCTCAGTCAAAGTTAAGCTATCTCTCCTTAGTATCGTATTTACAGTCAACTCTCTCGAGGACGGACACTTTTGGGACCGACACCAAGTGTCCGTCTTAGAGAGGTGTTCATGTTATACTGAGGTTGTCAAATAAAGGGAGTAAAGAAATGCAGGGACCAACTCTAGGTGTCCGTTTTACCGAGGTGTCCGTCTGATAGAGAGACAAATAAAGGGAGTAAAGAAAGGCAGGGACCAGCTCTAGGTGTCTGTTTTATAGAAGTGTCTGTCTGATAGAGAGACAAATAAAGGGAGTAAAGAAGGGCAGGGACCAACTCTAGGTGTCCGTTTTACCAAGGTGTCCGTCTTATAGAGAGTAAAATAAAGCGAGTAAAGAAAGGCAGGGACCAACTCTAGGTGTCCGTTTTACAGAGGTGTCTGTCTGATAGAGAGACAAATAAAGGGTGTAAAGAAGGGCAGGGACCAACTTTGGGTGTCTTCTTTACGGAGGTGTCCGTCTTATGGAGAGTAAAATAAAGGGAGTAAAGAAAGGCAGAGACCAACTCTAGGTGTCCGTTTTACCGAGGTGTCTGTCTTATAGAGATGTCCGTTAAGAGAGAGTCGACTGTAATTGTTACCCACTGTTAAGCGACAATACCTTGTAAATCCGCGACCAAGTGGTCAAAGTTTTACATTGTTTTGTCTTTCTTTTGAGTGAATTGTGAGTACAGCTGAGAGTAGTCAAACCGAAATATATTACTCAGGGCCCTTTTCCCGGCGTAGCATTATAAAATTTGTCTTTACCTAAATTGATGACAAAATGTGCCTGCAAAAACTAAGCAAATTTTTTAACATGTGCTCAACTCACTCAGAGTAAAACTAATTTTAAAAAGTTTTTGCGGATAATCCATTTTCCGCTTATTTGTTGCCCTTAGCTGAAATCCTATCTCCGAATCAACATGGTTTTATTCCTGGAAAAGCTTTGAGTCTCCGTTGCAGGAAAGCGGGGCTTTGATAGTCTGGCAAACGTGCTCAAAATTTGTAGGAAATCTCAAAAACGGCTTCCGGCCACAATATTTGCAAGGTAAATTAAGAACTGAAAAGTGCGGTTGAGTCGTTACATCAGTGTTTTTTCTTTATCCGCAGATGGACGCAGGTCTGTCTCCCCCATCCAAGAAGATACCTCCGAGTTAGAGATTCCTAACCGCACTCCGCCCCCGGCCGAGTGACAGACTTATCATCAACCCGCGAGTTCGTTGAGGCATGCGCAGAGCCTGATTAGAGAGGAGACCCGGGACTGAATAGTACATAGTTCGGTGTAGGCTCTTCGAACACTGGCTGTACTCTCGGATCATGTTCGTTTTAACTTAAGATAAGCTTATCGCCAGTTAACTGCAACTTGAAGATTAAAACTGGAGGAATCCTCTGACTGAAACAAGCCGCGAGACTATTTCCAAGTATTAAGTATGGCCTTGGTTTTAACTGATGTCGTAGACTTCAAAAATTTGTTTCTTTCAATACCCTTATCAACATTCCCCGCGCGCGGTGTTTATTTTCATTCGCGAACTTGACGATCTCTAAAGAGAGGCAGATAGTTTTTTGTAGATTATGTGAATAACTGGAGTTATGAAATAGGCATAGTTCAAATTTTTGGACGAAAATGCCATCTAAAATACACCTTTTTGTGCCTACAGAGTTTATATTTTGGTATTTCATAATCAACATATGCGGGCAGTTACTTGCAAAGTACGGCGGAAATAGTTGCTTCTTCATTTACTTGTGCAAATTGCAATGTGGGAATGGTACTTCCTACTGGTCAGTCATACTGAAATTACTGCTGAAATGAGTCCGCTAAAGGACATCGTGCAGAGGAAAAGATCGTTTATTTTCAAAATTTATAATACTTCAAGCTCCCTGAATTTATTTATTTTTTAAAAAACAAAGAAGATACTTTTTTAATCAAATTCTATCCCTATTAAGGACTGATTTTGTTTTTTCTTATATTACGAGTTCCTAACCTGTTATAGGCAAAGCAAAATTCTTCCAAATTGCAGGTTTCTAAAATAATGTTATTGAGACGCATTAGCATAAACTAAAAAAGTAGAGCTACTCCTTTTCAACTTTACTTAAATGTAAACTGGTCGATCTTCTCCAGGTTTTAAGGTTTCAGTCAGTTCTATGACTTAAATAACTTGACCTTTGATAATGGGTGATGTGTTTTTTAGTTTTAATATATATATTAATACCTGTGATCAAACAATTTTTACCTGAAATTCAAAGGCTGGTAGTGTCCAGCCGAAATATTAATAAATATTATAATAACATATTTCGCTCAGTTTTTGGAGTGATGTTTCCGCTCAATGTGATTGAACATATACTTAAACAAGTTACAGCTTGTTTCCTCCTCTTGACAACTAAATCTCCGGGACTCTCGCTTTCCGACACTCCCAAACGGGCCTGTTAGCAGGCTTGCAGAAATTGAGTGGCAGTCTTCTTCTATTTGTGTCGAACACACTGCCCCAATGCCGTGTATCAGTAGAATAAGATCTAAGAACGTAGTGTTTGTTCAGCCAGATTCAACCGCCGCCTGGTTAGCTCAGTTGGGAGAGCGCCGGTCTGCCGATCGGGAGGTCGTGGGTTTAAACCCCGGCCGGACTAACACTCAGGGTGCTGCCTTTGTAATGACATCTGCAAATGGTTAGACTTTCTAGTCTTCTCGGATAAGGACGATAAACCGTAGGTCCCGTCGCACAGCAGTTTCACTGATTTGTTCTTGTGGGACGTAAAAGAACCCACATCACTATTCGAAAAGAGTAGGGGTCGTATACCCCGGTGGTGTGGCCAACCTTTACTGGTTGTGGGACTTGGTAGGAATGGCACCTGGCATGGGACCTGAGTCCCGTTCGTGCACATTCCCTCTGGACAGGCCTGTGTCCAGAAAAGCTGGTAAATAAATATACCCTCTCAAGTCAAGGCCAAGGTCTTGCTTCGTTGCTTTGTCATAAGCAAAGCAATAGGCAGCTGAGACGTCAACATTTTTACTGTGGACGGGATCATGTTAATACATCTTTTCACCTCGTATGCTTTGTTTTCGCAATTAAGACCACGTGATGTTCTCTACGGACTTTGCCTGTAGGCAGGTGGATACTCGTGCATAAGACAAAATTAAAAGAAAAAAAACAGTTCTCTCGGTTACCATCACGTAGTCTGAAATGGGAAAACAAAACTTACAAGCTAAAAACGTCTATAGAATAAGCTGTTAGTAGCGGAGCTCCACGCGCGCTTCGCGCGTGGGCGGAGCCCCAGGTAAATCTACCCATCCCAGAAAATTTGGTGATCACGCGACCGTACATTGACCACCGACCGCCCGGCCGCACCTGGTTCTTATAACGC